CCAATTTGTATCATTCAGAAGAAATGACAAAGTGAAATTCATTTTAGCCACAAGGAAGATAGAACTAGAAAGATTCGGGTATAGCCGTCTTGAGACCCTTGGCTAAATCAAAATGTTTCTAGTTCTAAGTCTAGTGATAGTGTTGATATTAGTTCTCGTTTTAGTTGTTATTCAGTACCAGATTGTTATACAGGATGTACAAAAAGTATGGAATAATAGTTCTACTTGAAACTATTTTGCGCATATCTTGGCGTAGAAACAAAATAAAAATCTTGACGGCTCTGAGTTACGACATGGTGAGTGTGTTTTTTAAATGGAACGCCTTGTATATTTTACGGTTTTTGGATTCCTTTTGACAAGGTGTTGCAAAATGTCATATTTAATGCTTTAAACGGCATAGTTTTCGAGATATTCAAACTTTTATTTAAAAAGATTTGACGTAGCGACAACCAAATTATGACGTCATTATGGAATAGACAACCTAAGCCTTGACGTCACAGGGATGGGCGGAGCTTATACTGCCTGCAAACAATTTCGTTGCTAACCACAGTTGCTAAGATAAATCGCCATAAAAATGTCATTTAAAATGTCACTTAGTTTATTTTATTTTAACACTAATTGAAAAATTGAATATGGGGATTTATCCTTAGCAACACAGTTAGCAACGAAGATGTTTGGAGTCGGTATAAGCTCCGCCCATCAATATGACGTCAAGGCTTAGGTTGTCTATTCCATAATGTTACCATAATTTGGTTGTCGCTACGTCAAATCTTTTTAAATAAAAGTTTCAATATCTCGAAAACTATGCAGTTTAAAGCATTAAAACCTTATGGCATTTTGCAACACCTTGTCAAAAAGAATCCAAAAACCTTAAAATATACAGGATGTTCCATTTAAAAAACACACTCACCATGTCGTAACTCAGAGCCGTCAAGATTTTTATTTTGTTTCTACGCCAAGATATGCGGAAAATAGTTTCAAGTAACTTTTATTTAAAACTTTTTTTAATTTAGTTGAAGTTTAGGCCATTATTCCATATTTTTTGTACACCTTGTATATTTCTATTGTACTAAAAATAGAACTAAAAACGTTCGGGTTTAGACGTCTTAAGAGACGCATGGTATAGTTTTATATAGTAACAGCGCTAGTTTTAATTGTTATACAGCGCTAGACTGTTGTATATTTTTATTAAACTAAAAGTAGAACTAACACTAGACCAAGAACTAGAATCACTCGGCTTTAGCCGTCTTGAGAGACGTGCGGCTAAATCCGAATGTTTCTAGATCTCGGTCTAGTGTTAGTTTTAGTTTTATACTAGCACTATCACTAGAACTAACACAAGAGGTATTACTAGAACTAACACAAGACCTAGAACTAGAACCATTCGGGTTTAGACGTCTTTAGAGACGTGTGGCTAAATCCGAATGTTTCTAGATCTCGGTCTAGTGTTAGTTTTAGTTTTACACTAGCACTATCACTAGAACTAACACTGGAGGTATTACTAGAACTAACACAAGACCTAGAACTAGAACCATTCGGGTTTAGACGTCTTTAGAGACGTGTGGCTAAATCCGAATGTTTCTAGATCTCGGTCTAGTGTTAGTTTTAGTTTTACACTAGCACTATCACTAGAACTAACACTGGAGGTATTACTAGAACTAACACAAGACCTAGAACTAGAACCATTCGGGTTTAGACGTCTTTAGAGACGTGTGGCTAAATCCGAATGTTTCTAGATCTCGGTCTAGTGTTAGTTTTAGTTTTACACTAGCACTATCACTAGAACTAACACTGGAGGTATTACTAGAACTAACACAAGACCTAGAACTAGAACCATTCGGGTTTAGACGTCTTTAGAGACGTGTGGCTAAATCCGAATGTTTCTAGATCTCGGTCTAGTGTTAGTTTTAGTTTTACACTAGCACTATCACTAGAACTAACACTGGAGGTATTACTAGAACTAACACAAGACCTAGAACTAGAACCATTCGGGTTTAGACGTCTTTAGAGACGTGTGGCTAAATCCGAATGTTTCTAGATCTCGGTCTAGTGTTAGTTTTAGTTTTATACTAGCACTATCACTAGAACTAACACAAGACGT